CAAGTTAAAAACAAGCATATCTACAGTTTAAAATCAACAATTCTCAGATTCTATAAACCATAAAACGGCCTTGTCATCAAATACCATCTATCAAGAAGTTGACTGCTGATTAATGTATTTATGCAATTTGTTAAGCCATTATTTACACACTGAATGGTCTCTGATGTTTTCTTTTGTCAGATCGTGCAGAGGAGCAAACACCAGGTGAGAACAGTCACAGCGGGATGATTGCTCCTGCATGAAGCCTGATTCCACTTTTAATGTTTGGAGGTCCGTGTTTGTATTGCTTCCAAAATTTATTGTTTTAATAGAGTTTTGCGATTGGTTATGTTGATATCTACATATTTCATTCTTAAACTTTTTTAAAATGTTGAGATTTAAGTTATAGGTCAAAAACAGTATATTTGAGGGGTCTTTTCATAGGATATGGAATCTTTGTCTATTTGGTTCATAAATAATTACGATAACTGAAGAGTAGATTAAACTTCAAAGTAATGAACTAAAAGAACATAGTACACTTTGGAAATGTCTTTGAACAGGTAATGCAATTTTAAAATATGAACATAATGAACATACTGGTATGAAAGTCCTGTCATTTTTCATTAGAAGTTTTCAACAAGGTTTAAAGGTTGGTTTATTTTCACAGACAGACAAACGGAACGATGAATGGGATTTATAGTCCCTGTGTGTTTGCAAAAGTGGGGACAATAGAAACAGTGGGATAAATAAATTCTTTAATATATAGATAGGTTCAAGAAACGTTCATTTATAGCATTCTTTTTTCACTCTTAATTTGACACTTATGCAGAAACTTAACTATCTTTTAGGTTAAAATTTCTATGGGAAAATATTTTCTCAAATAGTGTGATTTGCATTTGTATGTCTAAAAATCTTGAGGTGTAGGGTGTAATGTTTCTGTGAAAGAAAGAAATGAAAATGATTTTGCAGCACATTTCTGAAATAGTTACATGTATGTCAATAAAAAAAAATAATATTCCCCAACTACAAGTAAACTACACTTTTGCAGAAACAATTTTGAAAAGAGTACTAGTCTATTATCAGTTTGGATTGAAATTTGTATTGAAAGGATGGGGACAGGGTCATACATGCACCTATATAATTAAAATGGAAATTGATTTTAAGAACCTTGGTTAAGAAAACAATCTTCTACAAATGAAATAGCTTAAGAATTCCTTATATCAAAGCATAAGAGCATATTCCTGCTGAATGTGGCATTTTAGATACAAAAAATATGATAGTTTAGAATTTAGAACCTTTGTCTAATCTATCTGACAAATTGCCCTCATCTAGAAGATGGCATCTAACGTGGACGTAAAAAGGTCAAGATGATGTGAAACTTTAGACAATGAATTATCTTCATAATGGGAGCCCATAGGTAGTGCATGATACAGAGACGATTGCACAGTTTGTGCAGCTGTGTGGGACTTTTTTTAAGAACTGTCATGTCAGGTGAGAGGCGTTTTGGGTTATGACCTGGGGACCACAGGTATGCCTTACCTCGGCAAAAACGTCCAACCAATTTATCCTGAATTGTAGACAGAGAATTCAGGTGGGTTTAGGAGGAACACGTGGTCATAACCAGTAGCCAGCATCTGAGTTCCTGTCGATTGACCTCATCTCCAACACCTGAAGTCAGAATCTAGGTCTTGTTAATGTTTTAAATACAAAGGGAATGTCTTCGTGTTCTTATTCACTAATAAGAAGCATCCTCTACAAAGGTAAAAGTACCCTCGTCTTATACACTAGCTTTATGTTTAAATTTTTAATGACACTTATTACATTGAAACTTGGATGTGAAAAAATTCTTGGTAAATGTCTAAGATCCTTTGAAGTACATAATTTTTGTGAATTCAATTCACAATAAAAAATAAGTTCCCTTCACATTTTTTCAAACCATAATTTATATTTGTTACACATTAAGGATGATTTGACATTAATACATTCCAGCTTCAATTTTCAAAATTCTACTTTTCAAATACAGTCTTTGAATTAAAATGTTTTTTTAAAATAAGATGAAAAATTGGTGTACAATTAAGTTCTTTTCGGGTGCCTAATTAAGATAAATATTGCTATGTAAACAGTTTACGACAAACCAAGGTATAAACAGATATGACAAGAAGATAAAGGTCACTATTGGTCCCGATTAATTTAGATTTCTTGAATTTATTAAATTCTAGCTTAAATTTATGTACATATAAGAATTATTGGGTCAGTTATGTATTTATGTATGTAGGCCATCGCCTGGAGTCAGAGAACGTGAATGACATGTCATTATACACACTTACTGGGGTGTACCATACGCGCCACATGCTGATAAAATTATCAAGATCAAACATTATTTCACGAGAGTCCTTATCAAGAAGAGGGAGGTACTTATCTGTTTAACATAAACATTAGCTAAAACCCAATTATGGTGATGATACCCTGCAGCTCTCATCAGAAAATGAAGGATGAATAAACGTTAGGATCTGCTGAGTCATCAATATTACCGAGAGACAGATTAGAATACACAACTACCAAATAGAGTATGAACACTATCCTAATTCATTAATTCCAAAATAGGGCTTAAATACTAATGACGCGACGCTAAACAGCATACAATCAATCATTCATTAGCCAGGGTACTTTGGCGACGTCTGTGTAATTTTTTTGGTTTAAGTAAATTTACTCTTTTGTTGAAATCAATGTAATAAGTATTTTTTTTCTTTATTTATTGTGTAGTAATTAACTGAATAGTCATATGTCAAGTGCTTTATGTGTTTTTGTAAATATATATGTTTCGAATACGAAATTTAAAATAAACATATGTGCCATATTTTGTCAATTGTTTTACCTCAAATATTTGAAAAATGTAATTATTTGTTTGGAAGGAATATAAAATTTTTGTACAAGTTTCTTTTATGTTTCTTGGTCAAAGAAGATGGAGAGGCACAAAACCAACAATCAACGTTTGCACCGAATGCCTAAAGCAGATCCATACATACCAATAGCGTACATCTCTATTCTGTCGTTGTGGACTACTTTTACCACGTCCTCCAGTTTGTAGGGATCCGTGGAGCCGCCATCTGTGATGATAACTCCTATTGTAGTGATGCCGGCCCGGGTCTGTATATGGCTATTATATTCACTTAACATCATCTCTATGGCCTTATGGGTATAAGTATTGCCGCCAACCCAGGGGAGTGTTCGGATGGCGTTCTGGAAACTGCTCAGTGTTCTGTATTCATTAAACTGGATGTTGAGGTCAGCATCGTCGCTGAATGTGATGACGGAAACACGTGACTTGCTAAAGTCGAGGACGGAGACGACATCGGCCACAAAACTCAGCTCCTTCTGGAAGTTTTCCGGGGACCTGAGACTCCAGGATCTGTCCAGGATAAATATGAGATCCACCACTTCGCACTCTGGAATCAAATCACGTGATACTCACACGACCCACTAATCTTTTAACAATATTTTTTTCATGATCTTTAAGCAGATTGAAAAAAATATGTTTCAGAATAAAAGAAAAAAAACTGTTTTGTTGTCTTTTGCATAGAAAATCATGAATATATTTTTAGCTGGTTTACCAATGAAATGAGCATATTGAAATTCTCAAAAGAAGTAAGTTGTTTTCGTAAAGAACAATTAAGTTTAAAAATGCATTTTTTAAATGAATTCGACAAAAATACTCTGCAACATTAAAATGCGAATGTTAGCATGCTTCGATAGAAACGTTTGTTCAATTTGCCCTAATCATAATTGTATTTTCCTCACGGGTACAATTTAACCTTTAAATATGGAATAAATCTAATTAGAACTATAAACATTTTCTCAGAAAATAAGACCTCCCTCTAACTAAGTGAAGTTGCCAGACAAAGCTAATATTTAGGCCATTTCTTTTACCTCACTTGCCATACTAAATCTTTGTTTGAATAGTTACTGGTACTCATTTTATTGTCTAGAACACGTGGCTAAGTCACTTCAACTTTTTTTCTCGTAAGTGCACTTTAGTTCCATTACTTTTTGACAATATTTATGTCCTTAATTCTAGAGTCAAGTGGGTATCTAAGTTGTACTGATAAGCTACCGATATTGTTCTATGTTTATATATACATTCAACAAATGTCATTATTGTCAATAGGATTAAATTCGACTTTTTCCAATTCTTTAAACTTTTTCCATGCAGAAGAAAGCATTAAGGTGTCAAAAAAATCAATGAATATGCTGATTTTACTTTTTTAAAAACAAATTATTAAGAATTCCAAATTATGCTCACCTTTTAATTTAAATCATCACCTATACTTAAATAAATCTTTCATTTTTTATCTATTTATTGCAGTATAGATTTCTTTGTTGGTCGTGACCCCAGATGCCCGTCTCCCTGTTTTGGGGTTATCTTTTTGGCTCTTTGCAGTAGCCGGGTACGAATGTCTAGTCCTATTTGATCTTTTTGTTAGCTAGTTTCTCCTGTGTAAACTCTGCATTGTTTTACTAGTTTACCTTTATAACACATACTTTTTTATCTTGGTTACGCCTTCTTCTGACGTGTAAAGCTAATGTTTATTGCGGAAGAGAGTTTCATCGTTTCCAAACATCAAAACAATTGAACCAAACAAATCAAGTAAAAGAATTTCATTGATAAAATTTTCAGGAGGTTATTTTGGGGCTACCCTCACAGGCACTTGTTTCGTATACAAGGCATCCCTGCTTTGGTGTTAAAAAGAGTAAAGGTGCCCTGTATACGAAACAAGTGCTTGTGGCTACCCTATAGAAAAATTTCTTTCTATATTGACAATTCGCTCTTTTTGCTAACTATGACATGTTTCTTTATCTATTGAAAAGTAATATGACCCTGAAATAAATTTTTTCAAATGTATGTTAATTATTTGAATAGCTTTTGCTGAGATATTTTTCTATAATATGCGGTAATATACGTACCATCCCTTGATCTTGGTAGGAAAGGTTGGTCTTGACTGATAACTAGAACAGGGGACAGAAAGGAGCACAACTACAAAATAATGAAAAATAATAAATTTACATACATCTTCTCCTAATTTGCATTTAAAATATTTGAATGATATTTTTATTGGCTTTAAAGAGAGGCCAAGTCTTACCAAGTATCCAAGAAATCTGGAAAATAAGATAGAACATATTAAATTACTTTTGGATTGTCAAACTTATGATTTGCATAATTTAAAAATTGTACGTATATTTGTAAATGGCATGCGATTTGGTGCAAGAATGCAAGAAATGCAACGCAAGTGTTTTTTCTAAGCTGATTCCTATTTAATGAAAACTAGTTCTTCAAATTTTGAACTCTAAGTCAGGAATATTTATACATGCTCAAGAGTCCCCTAACAGAATGTATGAAATCCTGCCATTTACTTAGCTGCAACAAAGTGCTTTTCTTGTAGTCTTAAAAAGATTGAAAAATTAAACAGAATATTCACTAAGATGTTGAAGTGCCCGTGTAGTGTTTATTTTTTCTTAAATTTGGTTTCAATCGGGCATACAAGAGACCAGGCTTGTTCGATGGAGAGAAAAATGGTATCCCAAAAACACACAAAGACTGGTCAAAAAGTTTTCGAAAAGTCAGTCACATTTTATGCTTTATATTGCAAAATAATAATAAGTAACAACAATGCAATCGCTTACCATTGCAGCTGGATTTTCCTTTCAAATAAAAAATCCTTAGACAGAATATCCTTTCGAAATAAGCAGAAAATCGTAAAATTGTAAAGAAAAAAAACCTAATTCCAATATTTTCAAATTCAGTTGCGAAAAATTAAATCCAATTAACTGAGTGTTTACACAAATAACAAGGCTGGATTTTGGACACTATTTAATTAAAGTCCCTTCCACCAATGCAAAGAGTATCAGTGTTACACAGATGGTGGACGTCCCTTTAAATACATGTAGAATTGGACCGTTTTCTACTGTATGCGTCTGTGGATATACACGTACTGCGCTTTGCCCTTTTCCCTCAGTACTGACATATCGTTGAGTTGTGTCAACTTCAACGGTAATGTGATAAGGTTTCAAAATCTTGATAACCAAATTACTATCTTTTAAGATTCACAAAGTATCATTGTTTAAACACTTAAAAACATTAAACACTTTAAATCTCAAGTTTTTTAAAAAGTTTTTTTTTATTCTATTAGTTATAATAAAAAAAATGTTTGTAAATAATCATTCTACAATATAACAATTTTTCATGTTTCATTAGACTTAAAATGACAACTGTGTGTTAAAATATTTTCTTTCTTTGAAGAAAGTAAGATGTATTTTAGGATTGTATTCCGTTATCTTGTGAATTAAACTGACAACCTTGTGTTAAAATTTCTATGAAGAAACTAAGATGTAATTTAGGATTGTATACCATATCTTGTGAACTTAAAACATCACACTATGTATACAGAGACATGCACTCTTATAACAATACTCTTGCTTTTGCACTGTTCTTTTGCTTCATGGAAAATGCCTACTGGACAATTCTCCGACAATTGTCTCTGGGATAACAATATGTTTATTAGGGTAGTCAAATACTGTAAATGTATTATATTTAGTGTGTACGATATTTAGCGGAAAGTGATTTTAAACAAGTTAGCGTAAATTTGATTTAGTGCATTTCTTGATATTCTTGTTTAAGATATTTAGCGATGTACTTGAATTAGCGGAAGTATCTTTCCGCAAAAAGCGTTAAAAAGAATACACCACAAAATGTAATTACGTTTACAGTATATTGTCGCCAGCGACAATATGTACTGAAGGGTCGAAATAGTGTGTATATATTGTCGAAGCTGGCAAGATGTACTGGACAACAGTTCATACAATACTATCACGGAACGACATGCTTAAAATAATTAAAGTTACGTCAAAAAGTGAGGAAGACGAAATACAAGCGAGATTTGGGAGGTTGATCGATGCAAACGTTAGGAATTAATTGAATTCTGAAAGTGAAAGGTCAATTATCAATAACTATAGACCTACAGAGGACAGTAACATGATAATACTTAGGTTACCGGGGACTGTCACAAGGGAGAATCAAATTTCACTGTTTAACAGATCTTCCTGACTTTGGTGAAAGAAAGATCAAGAGGTTTAATAAAAAACGGCCAAAATGTTTATCGAAGCACTGGACGGTTCAAATTGCAAGTACAGAGCTTCGGCTTCTTTTAGTTATGATAACTACGGGACATCAATTCTTTTTTAATGTAAAAGGTGAATGAAAGAAAAAATATTCAAACATTCAAGCATCTTGGAAGTAGCACACACAAAGTCACAATTTATCTGTTTATTATCAGTATGTAAAATATTCTTGACATCTGTTTCTGATGACTGTACAGTGTATATATTTGTACTCATTTGATGATTTCAAAAAAGGTAAGTGTGTGATCAAACATCACTGTCCTTGTTGTTATCATAGAGGGTTTTTTTTTCGTTGTTTAAATATGCTTGACCCCATGTCTCTGTAATTTACTACTTAACAAAGAACACGGGTACTTTTCTGATCCACTCGAGATATAGAGGATCATCTCTGGTAGATAATGCACACTTGCATACATTATTGTAGTCTCCATTTTCAATGCAGCAATGTACATGTATGAGACTAGTATTCTCTTTGAATCTCATTTAAGTTTTACAATGGTAAATTGTCCGTATCAATAGATTGTATCAACTGTGTTGAAAATAATTACAATAAATTAATGTTTATTTCATATTTTAGAGGATTAACATAGCAGGAAACCAACTATGCAAAGTACAGAATTTATTACTTTAACTAAACATGATGGGTTTAATTAAAGATGAAAAGTTATGATTTTTATTTTATATATGCGTTTGGTTTGCTTTTAGACCCAATTTTGCAGTCGTATTCAAAGAAAAGTGAGAAAAAATAATAATTTTGATGGTAATTGTACACTCCAGACAACCACAAAACCGAGGCCATTTAAGATTTGAATGTTGGAAATAAAGACTCGCACCTCAATCCTTTATGTATATGATGAAGTGTTTAATTCAGGACCAGACTCCTATTACTCCATTAAACATTATAAAGGAGTATGTGTTACACAGTAGTCAATAGACCGAGCAACACGCCCATTAACACGGTCCTTATACAAAGGTCACATAACTCAGCGGGGAACAGACTATTTTAAAGAGCATGGTGACCACTAGGTCAACGGACAACTATTTATTTTCAAGGCCGACAGAAAAGTAATTGATTATTTATCAAACGTGTTGAATTTCAAATTAAACGACCCAAAAGCCCGTTTTATGAGTATAGTGTGCCTGACTCGTGTCTGGCTACTGTTCAGGGGACCCTTTTAAGATGTCATGTGGATAATAGGAAAATGTATCTTTTCATTATCGTTTATGGGCATATATCTAAAGATCTTATACAAAAGCACGTCATATGCTATAAACGTTTCTTTGTGGCATTCTGTTGACCATGTCCTTTTGGAAACCCAATTTTTAGTCTAATGGCGACAAATTATCAAATACCTACCAATTTGGCCAGTTCTTAATTAGATTTACCGCGGAGCGAACAACGAGTAAAAACGCCCATCACAATCGTGTGAAAGCGTGTGGCTCTGAATTGATGGGAAATTTACAAATCCGATAGGAATATATTTCCCAAGCCTTGCAAAGCATAGAATATGCTTATCAAAGAATTCATTCAGACTGGTTTTTATTCAAGTTTGAATTGAGATTAAAAACAATTGGTAAACAACCCTTGCATTTGCCTACATTTATATATTGTCAACGACAAATTAATTGTAAAAACAAATTTCTTTTAAATGTAGTAAGTGTTTCTTTATCAAACAGTTGAGAAACCATTGCTTTGTCATTTATAAAGCAGGAAAAGTCAACATACCAATATCACTGTTAGCATGAAAAACATCCATACAATATACAGCATTATACATGCTAATGAATAGGAATTTCCGACCTTCCAAAAAACTGCCAAATTTTGAATGTTAAACTCATACAATTTTTGTACATATATGTGAAATGTTTCCGCACCACGTGAAATTTTGATATATATCTGAAATTTTTCCAATTTCTTCTTGCATGGAATAAACAATCTTCTGAAATAAAAAGATCCCATGCAAAACCATCATTATCACTCAGACTGTGGTTTTTGGAGATTTGTTACTGGCTTTTCTTTTCATAAAATCGAATTTTAAATACGTTGTTTAATTTAATGCAATGAACACTAATACAGACGGTAAACGTGGATTAGACATGACTTTCATGTCATAGATGTGACGGTTTGAACAAAAATATTACTAGGACTGCAACAGGTTAGACACTTAAACACGCACGAATGACGCCCCCGGGTATCTTTTGATCATATATCATTAAATTTTTAACAACTTACAGTTTTATTTGCTTGAATAACAAACTTAAAATTATTTTTCGTAAGAAAACGTCTTTTCTGTTAGAAACATAAGATAACTCGTGTAATTCTTTTATAAAATAAATAACAAAAGTGTATATCTTGCGACAATTGCCCCTTTTAAACAACACTGTGTGAATTTTTTGGAAAAAAAAAAAGATTGTAAAGAATCTATTTAAGGTTTTTTGTCAAACTTTGAATTCAATTCGCAAGAAAAGATTCATCTGTTCATTAGCCTGCTCATTACTCTGATCTTTTATTAGAATGCATATTGAATAACATGAATGAATCCACCGTCTCTCTTTCGCCTGTTTAAAAATTTGTTCACCAAAATGCATCCATAAACAAACTGCCACTGAAAGTGTTACCAACAATGCAAAACTATATAATCCAACTAAGAGAATCTTAATGTTGATGAAAATAAGGGGGTCAGCACTTTCACTTTCCTACTAATTAGAATTTGTCTATTTTAAAATCAAGTTTTAAAAAAACATCAACTCACCGAAAACATGGTATCCTATGTCGGTGTTTTCGTGTTAAGATCGAGTCCCATACAATATAAAACTGAACAAGGAAACTAGAGTATAAGGCGACCAAAACGCCTTCATTATTACCTAGTTATTTAAATCAGCCTATTCAAACAGATCTTGATATGCCATTTAAGTCAATATTTGTTTAAAATTATTCTTGTATCATTAGATAACGTGTATTTGAGGAACAGTTGACTATG